CATATTGTTCTAAATTGTTTTTCTAATGAAAGAAGTTTAACTAATGAACTCCATTGATTAATCATTGTTTTATATGCAACATCAAATACTGTTTCATTTTTTTATTGCTTTAATATTATCTCCAATAATTTTTAATCTTCCTACCATTTTATCTGCTAATTTCTCCGTTAATTGATCCATCCATCCACAATACAAATAAAATGATATCATAACATCTGAAATGAAAATATTTGCTACAATTGTTTCATACGTTAATTCTTCTTGATTACTTGATGATATTTTTACGACTTCTCCTAACATATTTGTAGATTTCGATCGAATAAATACAATCACACGTCTTAACGCACTCGCATAATTCTCATCTTCATGAAGTGAAAATGTATCAGATTCTTTTGGATTATTTTGAATAGCAACTCCTCGTTGTGCTGCATTTAATACTAACTGATGTAATTCTGTCAGTTCTACTGAAAAAATTTCTGTTTGTTTCAAATCAATAACATCCATCTCTGTTATTCAAAGTTTTTTTTGTTCTTTTCTTTTGTATTTCTTTCTAAGTAATTATAACTCTTTTTACTATTTCTTTATTCTTTCCTTGTTCTATTTTTATCTAACTTGAAATACAATAACATTATTTTCTTTTGTTTTTTTTCTTTTTTTTTGTTTTAAACCATCAAAACAAAAGAAAAAAAAGATGCATTACAGGAGACACCACAAAAAATACAGAAAAATAAATAACCAAAAAAGAAGAAATTCACATCAACCAAGAAAGATAAATGACAGAAGAATGAGTGAAAATAGGTATTATCTGTATGGACAGAGATACATGAATAATCACACTAACCATTACAATAATAATTATTACCATAACTATCACAACATAGATGATACAAATCGTTTCACTCATCACTTCAATTATAATCATCGTCATAAACACTTTAATAAAAATTTCAATAGAAATAAACAATATCAATATAAGAAAAACAAGTACCACAATAACACTCAAAG